GGATCTGGCCCGCGGGCCGTAGTTTGGGGACCCCTGGATTATAGGAAGAAAATCTGTTTTCTTATCAAATAAATCATTAATTGAATTAAATCAGTGATAATACCACCATGTTTCCAAATTAAAAGTCTCTTACATTTTATTTATGTATTTAAGAAAAAAGTAAAACTCAGCTGTAAAAATTCTTTTTATTTGTGAATTACCATATAATTAAAATAAATTCAGTCAAATCCATGATTACACTTCAACCTAAAGATGATTATTAGATTAATTAATTTACCAAGGAACTGTGATTACACTATAAGTTTATCTCCTGTATTTACTCTTCATATATTACTGAATTAAATTTAAGTGACAGTTACTCCAAATAATTCTTGTGCGACTAAAACATACCATAACACACCATGCTTCCCAGTTCTATTTCTAAGTTTATATGAGCTATAAAGGTTGCTGATTCCTGCCTGGGGATCAGTGGGAGCTGTATCTGGAGTTATCTCTGGTCTCGATGGTTTTGATGAGCAGCTTCGGAGCCGGAGAGCTGCTGCTGCTTTGGTAGCCATTACTGTATTTAGGAACTGGAGAAACAGGAGAGAACCAAAACAAATAAAATGTCTGTTTTTGTTAAACGCTGCTGAAATGATCACGGGAACGCCGCAGAGAGAGAAACGGCTTGGTGAACACGTACCGGGGCTGGAGACGGCCTGGATGCTCAGGATGGACTGCTGCCCAAGTCTGAACCAACAAAAACTAAAATTAAACTCCAGTCATAATTCACCTTCCTCTCACAGTCACTGGAATGAGACTGTGGGATTAAGTCGGGGAAATTCTGTCTATTTCTAACTGATGGATTTCTCATTCCAGCAGCTGCTGTTGCTCATTTATTCGTTACAACTTTATAATAATAAAGTCCAGTCTTTATTATTTTCTCTGATGAAAACATGCAAACACTTTAATGATGAATTTACTGTCATATTTTTTGGAGTGAATATTTAAAGAAACAGAAAACAGAGTTTCTGTCAGTCTGTCCTAAATGATGAAACTCGAGGACAAACAGCAGCTCAATCAAACTCAAATGATCAATAATCTGTCAGTAAAGCCAATCAGCTGTGACCTCATCACTAACGCTCACTGCAGAAACACTAAATACTAACAAGTTTTTCTTGTTAGTATGAACAAGTTTAAGTGAATGATTCTTTAAATTGTATTTTTAAAACTAGGCCAGATTTTAACGTGAGAAAATGTCTAAGTAAAAACTTCTGCCAGTGGAGCTAAACCCGCTAATTAAAACAAACTCCTATATCTTACTGAACGTTTCTTAGAAGTTATTTCAAATGCACCAAGATATTTGCACTGAAAATTAGACAAAAACACGTCTTTGTGTTTTTACAGTGTTGTGGTTGGACCTTCTGCTGAAACAGTCAAAACTCGTCATCAACAAAGTTAAACAGTGGAAGTGGTGAAGAAATGATTTCTCTTTGCTGTAAACGTGTTGAGGCTGAAGCAGCGTTGACTCCGCTTTTCTCTGAGTTGTAGATTTTCTCTGTCTTTGTTTCAAGTGTAAAGCTATTCAGTGTTTCTGTTTGTGTGTGGATGTGCTTCCTGTCTACCTGTCCTCCTCTCCCTCCAGCAGCTTCCTGTAGGTGGCGATCTCGATGTCCAGAGCCAGTTTCAGGTTCATCAAGTCCTGCACAGGCAACAAATGAATGATTAGACTTCCGCTAGCAGCTTTTCATCTCTTCCCGCCGGCGGCCCACCTGGTACTCCCTCAGCTGCCGGGCCATGTCCTGCTTGGCTCTCTGCAGAGCGTCCTCCAGGTCTCGGGTTCGAGCTTTAGCCTCTTTCACCGCCAGCTCTCCTCGCTCCTCTGCTTCAGCCAGCTGGTTTTCCAGACCGGCTCGCTGTTGAGGAGACACCAGAAACAATCACTGCTGGATGTTCATCAGGTGTTTCTGGATGAGTTTGAGCTGCACCTGTGCTTTCACAGCCTCGATCTCGCTCTGCAGACGGCTGATCAGCCGGTTGACCTCGGCGACCTCTCCCTTCACGATGCGAAGCTCGTCTCCAAACTGACTGGCTTGGACCGACATCTGGTCAAACTGGAAACATGACAGCCTGTCACTCTGCATCTTTACACTCTGACAGGCTGCTGGACGAGCCAAGGAAGCGGCATGGCTGCACCTTGCTCTTGTACCAGGCCTCGGCCTCCTCTCTGCTGCGGGCGGCGATCTCCTCATACTGGGCTTTGACTTCCACCACGATCTGCTCCATGTTCAGGCTGCGGCTGTTGTCCATCTGCACCACCACCGACGTGTCTCTGATGCTGGCCTGAAGCTCACGTAGCTCCTGCACAAAAACCCCAAACGTTCACAGAGAAACCTTCTGGTTCACAGGCAAGTTAAATCCCTTGCCTGTGATTTAACTACTCACAGGCAAGGCTGTAGATCCCATCTCATTATTGGGGGGGACCATAAGCAGGGACATTTTTTAAGAGCAATTTTGGGGGAGTCAGCAAAGTTACAGTAAAATGTGGTTTAAATATTTTTGTGTGTTCAAGCTGCACCATCAAAAATGACTAGTAAGTAGCAATGAAAAACAAAAGTGTTTTTCTCAGTAAACTAAGATTCAAATGTTGCTTAGATCTGAGTTTGGTTCAGAGTCACTGATCTAATCTCTGTTACACCTTTACAAAAATTTAAGGCTCTGACTAAAAGCACATTTTAATAAGTAACTCCACTTAATAAAATTCCTCATAAATATTGATTTATTGCAGTGGTTCTCAATACAAGTCAGGCGTTATTTAAATTATAACTTAAGTTGCTTTAAACTTATATTTTTGGTTGTTTTTCTCATGCTAAAACCTATAGATATGCATGAATATTTGGAAAGTATAGCTTAAACATAAAGGTCAGCACCAGAGTTTTCTAGAACAATATTCAGGTTTTATTTTGTGGTTTTAAAGGCTCTACGTTGAAGATGGTAAGAAATAAAGTCATACTTTATTTTGTTTTACTGCCAGCTGCAGTCGCCCCTCTGCTCCCATAATGAGCTGTTGGCTAATGCTAACGCTCAGCCGCTCCAGTTTCAAACTCTTCTTATTAAAGTAAGAGTTAGAGAGCTAAATATAACTGAAATATTGGCTACCTTCTACAGAAAAAGGAGCCAAGTCTATAAAAGCAATGTAGCAGTTTTGCTAGTTTTGGTATCCAAGGCATAAGGTGTCAGTTTATCAGGATTCAGCCAAAGTTATGAAATAACGAACTGTGGACTGATTTTTATTGTCAATGTGTTTCTTCCTATTGAGCAGTGAAAGTAAATGAAACGTGTTAAATGTCTTTTGCTGTAAGTATTTACTTACTGGATGGTTTTATTGTTAGTGCTGCAGAGCCACAGCTAACAGCTAACAGCTAACAGCTAGCTCCTCCCTTAGCGGCTCTAGCGGAGCCTGGGCCGCTCAGCAGTGCAGTTGTTGCTCCGCCTTCACTTTGGACTGAACCATTGTTCTAACAATGGTGGGGGGAACCTAAAAATTAATTACCATTTTTTTCTTAGTTGAATGACAGATTTACTTCGTTCTTTGTTTCTATTGCCTTTTTTATATTGATATTGTTTAAATACAAGGGTTTCTTTCATGATTTCTTTGGGGGGGACAATTCTAGACTTTTCCAAGATTGGGGGGGGTCCAGACCTCCCAGATCCCCCGGGATTTACGCCTATGTTCACAGGTTCTCCTCACTGCAAAAACACAAAATATTACAAAGTAGTTTTGGTTTCATTTCTACTTCTAATATATTATTAAATTTGAAATAAGACTAAACCAACTAAACTGTTCAGGTCAACAATTCCTTAAGGTTTTTGAAAAAGTACCAGCTATGTTAGCAGATCATTTCACTGATAACATGGGAAAACTGAGTTGAATAATCTGCTAAAACTAGAAAAAAACTACTGGGTAATTATTTGTGTTTTTGCAGTGTTTTGTCTTTATTACTCTAATATTAGGCTGAGCAGAAGATTTGAAGATGCCTAAACTGCAGCTAGCGTTGCTGCTAGCTCGATGGACCAACTGACTGTCCACCTTTAGCTTTGACTCTTATGATGAGACTTAAGAAGAATAAACTCACAAAATGTGAAGTTTTTTATCAGAAACGACCGACTAAAAACAGGAAAACATGAAGTTTTTCCTGGCTTTAACAGGCTTCCACACCTCCTCGTAGACGCTGCGCAGGAAGTTGATTTCATCGGTCAGAGCGCCAACCTTGTCCTCCAGATCTGCTTTGACCAGGTAGGCCGAGTCTACATCCTGCAAACATTCACCCACAAGGACAAGACAGGTTTAAAACCTGTGAATCTAAATGAGTTGAAGTGTGCCGTAAACATGAAATATAGTCATTTTAACTAAAATAAAAAAATAGGTTCGTAAAGTTTTTCAGAATAAAAGTGTCTTCTGAAATTAACCATCTTTCAGCAGGTATCAAATATACTTCTAAGCTAGCAAACATTTCTGAATTAAAATATATATCTGTTATTGGTATTTAATAGTCAGAGATAAATTGTCACATTTACATCAACTGTAAGCAGAAAACTATCAAAATTTAGTAAAATAAATGCTTGAAAACATCAGTCTGGATGTTTCACGTAAATATCAGACTCGTTCTTGTTGCTTAAAGAAAACGTGAAACATTTTTTTTTTACAAATATAAAAAAGTGTATTTTGATCTAAACATTAATCTTACTTTACACAAAACGGACAGAGAGAATTGATCGACGTTTAGAAATCACCGATTAGCATTTGTTGAATTTCTGGAGTAATCATTGGGACCGAATAAGACCAAAAATCCCAGCAGCCTTTGCACCGGAAGTGCTGTGATCATATCCGGTCATGTCGCAGTCGCTGTCACGTCGGTGTTGTCCATAGACATAATATAACCCTAACCCTTATATTGTGTCTATGGGTGTTGTCTATGTTGTCAAAGACATAATATAAGAGTAGAACCCGCATTGGCTGGAATGCAGAGCGGGGCTGAACCCGTATTACACCAAGCACTGTAGCTAATATTAGCTGGTATCTCGGCGGTGGACATAAATATAGTAAAGTAATATTCTAATCACAATATATACACAATAATATGTCCATCTTACTTGTGAAATGTTGTCTGTGGAGCCCTCACATCAATAATCCATAGACCAGAACAACAATATCCCTCAGTGCTGAGGCATCTTCTGCTGTTTTGGTTGAGCAAAGTAGGAGGGTATACCGCTCCAAGATGGCCGCCGTATTTCCTGCGCCGGAGCGGCCAATGCGGTCTACTCTTATATCATGTCTATGGTCCTGACACCCAAAAGCTGCTTGCCCTGCCTCCAGTCCTGGACTAGCAGCAAAACAAAGTGCAGCCATGACCTGCAGCGAATGAAGGTCTGACGGAACAACTAGAGCAGCAAATGGAAATAAAAAGAAACCCCGGGCTTCTTGAAATCTGCTGATTGTATCAAATTAAGAGAAATGAGGACAGATATCTCTGGTTTGGTAAAATGTACTCAGATAATGAAAAACAATCTAAATCTGCAGGAGATTTGAATGTGTTCGGTTCTGCTGGACTATAAAAGATAAAACATGAAGCAGGTTTTATTACTCTGCATTCATACACAGCTTCTTTATTTTAAACACAAGTTTGAAAACAAACAATGGCTTATTGATGCCACTGCAGCTGTTATTTTGTCTAAATGGAGAAATGTTAACATAATGAGTTTTTCTCATTTCTGACTGAAATATAATATTTGATGCCTTTCTATATCAATTTCTACATGCTGGATTTATGTCAGTGCATATCTTTAAATAAAACAAAAAAATGATCAGTAATTAATCAGAAACCTCTGGTCTAAACCATTACATTTATTGGTATAAATTATTATTTTGTGTAGCTGAAAATAAATTGGTTTTGAGATGTTTGTTGTAAATAGAAATGAAGTGAAAAGTTTATAGATTTGGAGTCAATATTCCTTATTGATTTGTCTTCATGAAACATAAAGGCAGATTTATTCAAATATATTTTTAAAATGGCAGCTAATAAATGAAGCAATACTTTTAATATTAGCTCAGATATTGAGAGACTTTCATTTGAAAAGACACTTTGCTGGAAATGTTTTTCTTAGAAAGCTCTTAGAGCTAACAAAATCATTTAATCTATATTATAAAATGTGATATTAAACCAATCCAGCAGGTTTAAAGCCGACTGGCTGCAGCTGCAGCGACAGACGAAGTGGACAGAAAACAAGTTTCAAATTCAAATTCAAACATACTTTAATAATCCCAAAGGGAAATTAAATGTGACTCAATAATTTAGATACTTCAAAGAGCTACTGAAGAAGATGATGATGATGATGGCCTGACCTTCTTCAGGATGACAAAGTCGTTCTCCAGGTTGTTTCGCTTGTTGATCTCCTCCTCGTATCTGAGGGAGACAGAGGACAGAGTGTGTGTGTGTCTGTGTGTGTGTCTCTATGTGTGTGTGTGTGTGTATCTGTGTGTGTGTGTACTTGTGCTTGAAGTCCTCCACCAGGCCCTGCATGTTCCTCAGCTCCCCGTCCAGTTTGGTTTTGTCGTTGTTCACCAGGTCGTTCTGCCGCCGCAGCGCCGCCATGTAGGCCTCGAACAGCGGCTCCACGTTGGAGCGACTCACGCCTTGAGACTGCAGCAGCTCCAGCTTCGTCTCCAGCATCTTGTTCTGCTGCTCCAGAAAACGCACCTGAACCGGGCAGGAGAGGGACCCATCAGCAGGGGGAAC